CTCCAACCCACTTAGTTATTTGCATTTTCAATTCTTCTCAAAACTTATATCCTTCATATTCCACTAAAATAAAACTACGGTCACCGTTAATTATATGATTTTCAGTCATTTACTTTGTTTTCATTTTTTGCCTCTGGTGACCGGCAATTGACATCGACCAAAATTAATTCACTTCCGGGCACTTTGTCACGGACTGAGCCGTGACAAATCCGTGACAAAATTCAAAAAAAATTGTCACGAATCCGCCCGTGACAATTCCCGTGACAAAACCCAATAATTGATAATCCATCGGTCACCTAATTAATGTTGTACGAAAAGGTGTTTGTTACGGATTTATCCGTGACAAATTTTTCTATATATCACAGTGCAGTTTCATTCGAGTGATACCAATTAAAATTCAATCACAGTACAATATACAGTATCTGTTGAAAGATTGAAGGATGTAATCTATCAATTTATCATTTTTCCCTGTTTATCCAGATAAGGTATGTCATTTGAATTATGTATTTTTCTTAATAAGTTTAATATTTTCATTTTAAATAATTACAATTGTTAAATTAGTGAGGTTGTTAATTTATTAACAATATATTTAACTATAAACGTAATTTAGTTAAATTTAAATAATATTTAATTGAAAATGGATTATAAAATTATTAGGTTTGTTAAGTATATTAGCATTTATTTTTAATGCCTAATTTAGGATTTATAGTGATTTAAGTTAGGATTGAAACATTAGTTTAGTGTGAATTATTAGTTAAATTAAATGTAAATATTAGTTAATTGAAATGAGTTTGAATTGATAATATTATTAGGTATTACCGTTAATTTAGGATTTCAATTGATAATATTAGTTAAATTTAAATATTAGTTGATTGAAATGGATTTAAATGTGAATTATTTGAATTTCATTTCATTCACATGTTAGTTAATTATTTATTGTGTATTATTAGATTTTCATAATTTTAGTATTCTGAAGTAGTGCCATTAACGTAATAATTTAGTGTATATTAATTACGTTTAAAATCCTAATATTGTGAATTAGTTGTTAATTTAAATGATTAATTCCATTAATGTTTTGCTTTTAGTTAATTAACGCCATTAATGTTTTCATTTACATGTTAGTTAATTATTTATTGTGTATTATTTTAATGCCTAATTTAGGATTTATAGTGATTTAAGTTAGGGTTGAAACATTAGTTTAGTGTGAATTATTAGTTAAATGTAAGTATTAGTTAATTGAAATGAGTTTGAATTGATAATATTATTAGGTAATACCGTTAATTTAGGTATGTCATTTGAATTATGATGATAATGATGATGATGTCTATCTGGAGTTGTAATAATTAGTTTATTTGAAGTTTGAAATTGATTTTTTATTAAATTATTTTTATCTAATGAATTTCTAATGATTATTGTTATTAATGTTTAATCATTATGTGATTGTATGAATTGTTATCTAATGAATTTCTAATGATTATTGTTATTAATGTTTAATCATAATGATTAAATTTGAATTTTTATTAAAAAGTGCGCAGATTTTTTTTAAATATAAAATGTTTGACATGGACTCTCGCCGTGACAAATTTTCAACTTTTTAAACTTTTTCAAAAAAATATTCTAATTATTCCACAACAAAAAAATATATATATATTTTAAAATAAAAATATTTGTCACGGATTAATCCGTGACAAAATGAAAAATATTTGAATTCAAAAATTTCAAGTTACCCGCCTAGCCCATTTAAGATATTTCAAATAAATTCAAAAAAACATTTTTCACGGATAAATCCGTGACAAAATGAAATATTTGAATTCAAAAAATTTCAAACTTCCGCGCCTAGTCCATTCCGGATATTTTTTTAAAAAATAAAAATAGGTTTGTCACGGACGAATCCGTGACAAATAAATACCGGCGTTGCTCCGGTGCCTTGTTTTGTCACGGATGGACGCTGTGACAAATCCGTGAAAAAGTCTGTCACAGAATATTGTGCGTGACAAACTTTTTAGTCACACATTGTTTGTCACAGATAATACCGTAACAAAGTCCGTGACAAAAATTTTTTGTCACGAATTTTTTTAACTGAAATCCGTGAAAAAATCCGTGACAAATTGGAAGTTTTTTTGTAGTGCTCGTCCCATAACCCCATCAAAAAATATTACTCCATATAAAAGTACTATTGACTAATGATTTAGATGATAGAATTGTTTAGTAATTAAATATTTAGGTAATGAAAAATGAACTAACAAGGTCTCGCTAGGGTGCATAGACATAAAGTATAACATGTTCCTTGAACTAAATTCTTAAAATCGTGGGTAGGATTATATTGAAACAATTCTGAGTGTGTTTCGGAAAAACGAAGAAATATTAATTAATAAAAATTAATTAATAAATAAAATAGTCAAAGAAAAAACAGAAAATAGATGGAACAAAGTTTAGCCAGAGCTCGTGCTACGCACGATGTCCTTAAAATGTATTCATCGCCTCCCACGGTGCTAGGAGCGTTGCAACGATCGTTTCCCAGGATACGGTGGCTAACGAACTAACGTTTGGGCACACAAATGAAAGTTCCGGCGAACAGGAGCAAAGAAGAACACTCAGGAATTTTTTCAGAGAGCTGAAGGTGTTTTTGGAGGTCAAAATACGTGCAGATAGTGTATGAACGTGTAAGAACATCTGTTTGTTGCAAAGCACCTACCAGCTATATATAGGAGGATTTGTTGTCTGTTAAATGGAGTGTTAATGGACCTGTCCGTTGGGTATTAACTTCCGTAACGGCTTGGAGCAGTTCTGGTGCGCGACCAGAATACCTCCATCAGAGTTGGAGCAACTCTGAGGCTACTAGGGATGGACTAAACCGGCCCGGCCCGGAACCGGCCTGGCCCATCCCGGCCCCGCCCGCTACTGTGCGGGCCCGGACCGGTTGGCCGGTTCCGGGCTTTAAGCCCGTTTGGGCGGGTCTGGCGGGCCGAGCTCGGGCCCAGTTTTGGGTGAACCGGCCCGAGTCAATTTTTTTTTGTTTTTTCAATTTTTTTTCCTTTCCTAGGGTAGGGCTGGGTGTTTTGGGGAGGTTTTGGGGTGGGGGTGAGGGGGGGGGTCGGGGGATAACAAGAAAGCAAAAAAAAATAGACATTGAACCAGGCCCGGTTAGGCCCGGACCCGGTATCAACCCGGGCCGGTTCTGGGCCCAAGGATTTGCAAAAAAAGTCCGCCCGGGCCTGGCCCGGAACCGGAACCGGACCGCCCGGGCCGGTTCACCCAAAACTGGTCCTGGAAAAAATAAAACATTACGGGAAGAAACAAAAATTAAATCGTATCTTTGAATGATAGATTTTCGGACGACATTCGTGTCCGTAGGTCGCCCGCGCACACGAGTCGCGGTTTTTCTTCTCCATTTTCGGGATTTGATCGGCACCCCCCGCGCGCAAGAGAGAGCCTTTACCTTTAGGAATTTTAACTCCTTAAAAGATGCTTCTCTTTATAAGGGGGTGAAAATCCCTTGAGTTTTCCGGTGTGATATAAAACACACTAGAAACCCATCATTTTCCCACTTTATCTATTTCAACGAGTGAACTTCAAGAATCAATTTCTCATTCATCCGTTATCCATTTTGAGCATACCATATATCGAATTGTAGCCCTTAACAAGGACAATCCAAAACCACTTTGACCCGACCCAAATCGGAAGTGGATCCCACTCAAAATATTGCCCCAAAATCACCATTTAATGCAATTTTTAACACATTTTCCCAACATTATAAAATAAGAAAAATAATGCTATCCTCCATATCGCATTAGTTGCAACATTGGAATATATACACTATTCATGTACTTTACTTTGACTACATTTTATTTATTAATGTATGTGAATTATTCTTTAAAAAAATATTGTTAAATTCGTCTCATTACTAAGTTTTATAATCTGATTTTTATTTTATTTTTACTAATACAGAATTAAATATAATGACGGTCAAAGTTGTGCGTTGGCAAACGTGAAAAAGGGAACGTTGCAACTAAAAAGAGACGGATCGGAGGAAGTATAAAAGATGGAGAAACTCATTATTTAATTATTTATGTAAAGGAGTTTTAGTTGCATATTAAGTTTGAGATTAATTAAGATTGTAATCTATATATGTATATTTATATGTTATGTTGCCCTCAAATAAACTTATTTCCTTAATCCGTCAATGATTTGGAGACATGTTAGTTAATCTGAATACATACTTACGCTTACTATAAAGATTGTTGAGGTAATTTGAGTTTGCACTTCATTTTACTGTTCAAATTGGACTTTGCATCCCGTTTTAAAATTCTTTGTGTTTGCACCCCAACCCCGTATGAGAAGACAAAAATGCTTCTTAATCAGGAATATGTTGAAGGCCAACAGAATTGTTAATGGAGGGGCATTTTTGTCTTTTCATATGGGGTTAGGGTGCAAATACGTTACAAAGAACTTTAAAAACGGCATGCAAAATCCAATTTGAACAATAAAATGTAGTGCAAACTCAAATTACCCTAAGAGTTGTGAAAATTGAGCATTGTTTCTATTCGATGCTGAATGACATTTTTAAGAAAAAAAGGTGAAATCTATCGAGTTGAGTTTGTAAATGGAAGAAACTTTGAACTGTTTATGTTTGTTTCATAGAATATCTGCGTGAGTTCAAATTTTGTTTTTCTTTTAAATTATTCATGGTTCACGAATTTTTGTTAACATACAAAATCCGAAAATCATAATGAATATAAATTGCAGAACAAGTACTCATAGCATATTTAATTTATCCAAATATTCTAATGTGATTATTTTATGATTTGCATTAAGTATAAGGAAAAATACTCGTATACTCCCTCCGTCCCCTTATTAAATTCCTACTTTCCTTTTTGGGCTGTCCAAAAATTATCTTCTCATTTCCTTATTAGGAAAGAAATACTACTTGAAATACCATATTTGCCCTGCCCATTTAATTAACCATCAACCCTTATCTTTACTCCACCCACCCCTCTGATTCGCACTTTACCCACCTCCCACCTTATCCCCTTTCAAATCGGTGGCCTTCTCTCCTCAAATCGGTGGCCTTCTCTCCTCAAATCCTTTCGTCCTCCATATGGAAGAGGAATCAATCACTCCTTCGAACCATGGAACTCTCCTTTCCTCTGTGTCATCTTCTAATTCCAACATGGAACCCCATCCCTCTTCCGATGTACACCCACATCCGTCCAACCCTAGCCCGTCTGATTTCAACCAAGCCGTGGTCAAAGTTTCCGAACAATATCCTCTCCTAGCCACTGCCGATGAAGATGAGCCTGAGGGTGCATGCGGGTGGAATGAATCGGAAACGGGTCTAGCTTGGAAGGGAAGACACATCTATGCCTCCCACTACGACGAATTTGAGGGTGCATGCGGGTGGACATCATCGGAAACGGATCCGGGTTGGAAACGAAGAAGGAGGTATGGCTCTCACTTCGACGAGTCTCCTGAATCGGTGGAAGAAGGCGAGGAGGTCAACTCCTTTGATTGTCTATTCCCAGATCTGTACATTGACATATTTCAGGACACTCCATAGGGGAAGTATCTATTGCTAAAATTATGATTTTTTTTATTTACAATGATGTTGGCCTTTGATGTGGTTATCTGGTTATCGGTTCTGTAAAATCCGAAGTATGCAAATGTAGATGCCTTTTTACATGTGCTTCCCGCTTTTCTGTAATGGTATTTGTAGTACTCCTTACTAATGATGATGGAGTATCACTAAAATTTATTGATTTTTCGAGAATATGACTACTTATGTTTTATTGTGTAGAACATGACCAAATTGAATATGAAAGGCATGTGACATCAAGTAGGAACAATCAATAGAGATAACTACTTTATTTGGCTAGAAGTAGGAGGTGAGTATTTGTAACACCCCGGCTCCGTAGGCCCCGAGGTAGTTACTTCTGACCTCTAGTACTGTCCTCACAAACCGTCATTAGCCTTTTCCGCGCACTTTGTCCTCACTCGTGCACGCCCTGAGAAACTTCCCAAGGGGTCACCCATCCCAAGACTACTCTCGTGCAAGCACGCTTAACGTTGGAGTTCTTGGGTGATGAACTCCCTTAAAAGGAGATGCACCTCTGTTGGTATGAGTAGTACTATTAATCCATTTAAATTAAATCTCAAGTATTACAGTATTAGTCATATAATAGTTGACGAATATTTTTAATTTTATTCAAAATAGAAAAAACATATTGATGGAGTATTAACTCCTAGAGAGAAGGGAGAGCTAGAGACATAAAGTGATATATATAATGAATTTCTAACCCTTTACATGACTCCCTTAGGGAGTATTTATAGGAGAAAAGCGGGCTGGGCTTCCAGGCTTGGGCCTGGAAGGCCCATTTACAGTAAAAGGCCAATAAATGGCTAACAAATGGTATTTAATCTATTCTAACGGGTATACATGAATAAAATGGAGTGTACAACAAAATAAATGCTATCTACTGAGCGTATGTGGGCCGCTGTCCGGGTCCAATAGTCGTGAGACCCGGGGGTCCGAGTCTATATACTCTATCAGGAGTCCCCCACTCTCTGAGTCGAGAGTATTCGAGGCGAAAGAGAGTAGAATTGTGTGCTGATCTTTCGTCGTCTGGTGAGTGAACTTCATGAAAAAAAAATTGAAATTCTGCTTCTTTGGTTAACGGAGGCGCTAAGTCCCCCGCTCTCCCAGTCCCCCACTCCTTGAGGCGAGTGTAATGAGGTGAAGAGGAGTAGAGTAATGCGTGTCGGATGATGTCTTCAACAGGGGGCCGAGGGTTGACACCTTTTGATCCACGATGGGGAGATGCCTCGTTAAAAACCTCATTAGGAAAAACCATGTGGGAAAAAAATCCTAATGAGGGAAAAAGAGTACACCGGATGCCCCCAAAATGAAACAAAAGGTGTGAACCCTTCGGCCTGGAGATGGAGCTGCAACGGTGCCCGTCTGCTGGGGCGATGGTCGAGGCCGATCTCTAGATGTGGGTAGCTCATCATGATCAGTAGTCCTAGTCATCAAATAAAGATGACTAAGGGATGGGTCGAGCGACCGTCCACAATATGATGTCTGGTTCATCAAATAAAGATGACCAGAACGTAAGGCCGATGGGCCGAGAGGCCTGTACGAGAGCTCCACGTCGTCAAATAAAGACGACGGGGCGATGGTGCGGCCGAGGGGCCTGCATAAGAGCTCCATGTCGTCAAATAAAGACGACGGAGCGATGGTGCGGCCGAGGGGCCTGCATAAGAGCTCCACGTCGTCAAATAAAGACGACGAGGTGATGTATGGCTCAGAGGACTGCATAAGAGCTCCACGTCGTCAAATAAAGACGACGGGGCGATGGTGCGGCCGAGGGGCCTGCATAAGAGCTCCACGTCGTCAAATAAAGACGACGGGGCGATGGATGGCCGAGAGGCCTACATGAGAGCCCCACATCATCAAATAAAGATGACGGGGTGATGCATGGCCGATGGGCCTGTAAATGAGCTTCGCGTCATCAAATAAAGATGACGAGGCGATATATGCCCGATGGGCCTGCAACTGAGCTTCGCGTCATCAAATAAAGATGACGCAGCAAGATGTGGCTCAGAGGCCTACAAATGAGTTCCTCGTCATCAAATAAAGATGACAGAACGATACATGGCCGATGGTCCTGTAGATGATCTCTTCGTCATTAAATAAAGATGACAGAGCGATATATGGCCGACGGGCCTACAAATGAGCTCTTCATCATCAAATAAAGATGACAGAGCGATATATGGCCGATGGGCCTACAAATGAGCTCTTCATCATCAAATAAAGATGACAGAGCGATATATGGCTGATGGGCCTGCAAATGAGCTTCGCGTCATCAAATAAAGATGACGGAGCGATATATGGCTGAACTCTGGGCTCCTTTAGCCTTTCGGCCGGAGACCGCAAGATGTTCGCTGTATCTGAATAGGGGGACGAGGTGGTGGACGCCTGTCTGAATATGAGGACGACGACGCTGATGAGTCGGTCCGAAAATGAGGACGACAGCGCTGACGAACCGGTCCGAATATTGGGACGATGGCGCTGGTGAGCCGGTCCGAATATGGGGACGAGGCGATGATAAGCCATGCGTCGTATGAAGGCGACGGTCACCATCCAGGAAGGGAATGGCGAGCCTGGTCGCTAGATAAGGACTTCGGCGCTGGGGCCGGTCTAAATGTGAGGACGAGGCGATGATGAGCCGTGCGTCATATAGGGGCGACGGTCGCCGTCCGGGAAGGGGTGGCGAGCCCAATCGCTATAACAAGACTTCGGCGCTGGGAGCCGGTCTTGAGATAAATAATCACGTCGCGGCCGAGAGGCTGATCGCGATGTGCGGATGACAATGATGAGGAGCCAGTCCGAAATATGATGACGAGGCGATGATGGAGCCGATCGTCATATAGAGGCGATAGTCACCATCCAGGAGGGGATGGCGAGCCTGATCGCTAGCCCAACACACTCGGCGCTGATGAAGCCGGTGTTGGGATAGGGTGTGACGTCGTGGCCGAGGGGCCGATCGTGATGCGAGGTCGTCAGCACTACGAGGCTGATCCAAAAGTCCAAGCAGCGGTCGCCATCCGATGAAGGAATGACTGAGACCGGTCTTGGGGATAGACAATCACGCCGAGGCCGAGGGGCCGATCGTGATGTGCGGACGGAGATGATGAGCCGATCCGATAATATGATGACGAGGCAAGGATGAAGCCAATCGTCATATAAGGGCGATGGTCACCATCCAGGAAGGGATGGCGAGCCCGATCGCTAGCTCAAGACTCTCGGCACTGAGGAAGCCGGTCTTGAGATAGATAGTCACGCCGAGGCCGAGGGGCCGGTCGTGATGCGCGGATGGCGATGAAAAGAGCCAATCCGAAATATGATGACGGGGCAATGATGAGTCGGCCGTCATATAGAGGCGATGGTCACCATCCAGGAAGGGATGGTGAGCCCAGTCGCTAGCTCAAGATCGCGTTGAGACCGAGGGGTCTGCCGCGATGTGAGCATGACGGCGATGATGAGCCGTTCCAATAAATGATGACGAGGCCATGATGGGCCAATCGTCATATAAAGGCGACGGTCACCATCCAGGAAGGGATGGTGAGCCCGATCGCCAGCTCAAGACTCTCAGCGCTGAGGAAGCCGGTCTTGAGGTAGATAATCACGCCGAGGCCGAGGGGCCGGGCATGATGTGAGGACGACGGCGATGAGGGGCCGGTCCAAAAATCCATGCAACGGTCGTCATTCGGTAAAGGAATGACTAAGACCGGTCTCGAGATAAATAATCACGTCGAGGCCGAGGGGGTCGGTCGTGATATGAGGACGACGACGGTGAGGAGTCGGTCCAAATAATGGTGACGAGGCGATGGTGAAGCCGACCGTCATACAGAGGCGATGGTCACCATCCGGGAAGGGATGGCGAGCCCGATCGCTGGCTCAAGACTCGCGGCGCTGAGGAAGCCGGTCTTGAGATAGATGATCACACCGAGGCCGAGGGGCCGGTCATGATGTGAGGACAACGACGATGAGGAGCCGGTCCTATAATATGAGGACGAGGCGCTGATGAAGCCAATCGTCATATAAAGGCGATGGTCACCATCCGGGAAGGGATGGCGAGCCCGATCGCTAGCTCAAGACTCGCGGCGCTGAGGAAGCCGGTCTTGAGATAGATGATCACGCCGAGGCAGAGGGGCCGGTCGTGATGTGAGGACAACGGCGATGAGGAGCCGGTCCTATAATATGATGACGAGGCGCTGATGAAGCCGATCATCATATAAAGGCGATGGTCACCATCCGGGAAGGGATGGCGAGCCCGATCGCTGGCTCAAGACTCGCGGCGCTGAGGAAGCCGGTCTTGAGATAGATGATCACGCCGAGGCCGAGGGGCCGGCCGTGATGCGAGGACAACGGCGATGAGGAGCCGGTCCTATAATATGATGACGAGGCGCTGATGAAGCCGATCGTCATATAAGGGCGATGGTCACCATCCGGGAAGGGATGGCGAGCCCGATCGCTGGCTCAAGACTCACGGCGCTGAGGAAGCCGGTCTTGAGATGATGGACGGCGCTGGGCGCTCGTCTGAGAATGAGGGACGGCGCTGGGCGCTCGTCTGAGATGATGGACGGCGCTGGGCGCCCGTCTGAGATGATGGACGGCGCTGGGCGCTCGTCTGAGATGAGGGGCGGCGCTGGGCGCTCATCTAAGATGAAGGACGGCGCTGGGCGCTCGTCTGAGATGATGGACGGCGCTGGGCGCTCGTCTACAAATGAAGGACGGCGCTGGGCGCTCGTCTAAGGATGAAGGACGGCGTTGGGCGCTCGTCTGAAAATGAGGGACGGCGCTGGGCGCTCGTCTACAAATGAAGGACGGCGTTGGGCGCTCGTCTAAGGATGAAGGACGGCGCTGGGCGCTCGTCTGAAAATGAGGGACGACGCTGGGCGCTCGTCTACAAATGAAGGACGGCGTTGGGCGCTCGTCTAAGGATGAAGGACGGCGCTGGGCGCTCGTCTGAAGATGAATGACGGCGCTGGGCGCTCGTCTAACAAATGAGGGACGGCGCTGGGCGCTCGTCTGAGATGATGGACGGCGTTGGGCGCTCGTCTGAGATGATGGACGGCGCTGGGCGCTCGTCTGAAAATGAGGGACAGCGCTGGGCGCTCGTCTACAAATAAAGGACGGCGCAGGGCGCTCGTCTAAAAATGAGGGACGGCGCTGGGCGCTCGTCTAAGAATGAAGGACGGCGCAGGGCGCTCGTCTAATATTTGCCTGATATGTACTTAGTATTGTTGTGGGGATTTCATTTTTTGTTCCTCGAGGCCGGCGAGTGCACGCGGTCCTCGGCTTTCCTCTTTTATTTTTTCTTTTTCCTTTTCTCTCTTTTTATTTATTTATTTCCGTTTCCGTTCCCTATTTCGGGGAGTATCCTTCTTTCAGGCTTCGGTCGAAGGGTGTGCTCGTCCTTCGGCCGGTTCGAACTTCGTTTATAACGTCCGTGATCTCAGGGGGGTCCCGTCGCCTATTTATGACGCGGGCTAGACTTTTGGTTGGTTTCCAACGGCTGCCGTTGCCCAACCCTGAGTGGGGGGATTTTGCCACCTCGGCCATGATTTCAGGCCTGTCGTCCTGCGATCTGGCGCGTGGACGACGCGGTGAACTTCCCATTTCAAGACGCGGGCCGTTTGCGGGCCCCTCGTCCTGGGGACATCGTCGGCCATACCTGAGCGTTTCACTCTAGGCTTACGGGGCCAGGACGATGTGCTCTCTCAGCTAGGCCTGAGCCCTTCGCTGATACAAAATACAAAGCGGAGCAGACCTGAGCCTTTCGCTCGAAGGCTGCTGATACGACATGTGATATCTTCTATTTACATTTCCAAAACATAAGCGGAATACAATAGGTGCGTTGTTCATGGCAACGGCTTTTGGGCGACGCGATTAGCGTCTCGGAGAACGAGGTGTAACGTTTACTGCTCTTGGGCATAATTCCATGTGCGGCCGGTAGTGGCTCTCATTTTTAGATGCCCGAGTCACCAAATAAAGGTGGCTAGGGTAGGTCGAGGGACCCAAATATAATTCAAATCATAAATAAAGATGTTCAATAGATTAGAGCTTCGGTTGCACCATTTTGGGGATTTTAACCGGCACCAAAGGTGATTATGATTATAACAGTAGTAATTTTTATTATTACTTCATTTTTCTTTTGAATAGTTAATAAAACCATTTTTTTTGGAATAGTAGTAAAACTATTTTGCTCCATATCTAATGCATAGAATAGGAGGAAAATTTAGTGGCACTTACCTTTTATTTGGGTCGAGGCCTGTGGTGCATAGAATTCCAGCCCGTTTGAAAAATAATTGATTGGCCCAATATTGCTGGCCCATCAGGTAATCTGAGCTTTAGACCAACCCCACTTCGTAATTCCATCCGCGAGGGAGAACCGGGGACTGTAGCCGATGAGGGAAGTGAGCATGGGCTTCGACTTTGCCGCTTTGGCCGGCGTGAAATAGGCGAACGAGGGATGCAATTCCATGGCAGACAAGCCACTTGGGGCAGATGAGGCGTTCTGGCCGCATGCGTCTCAGATCGACGTCGGGGTGTAGGAACAGACTGAGGGCGTGGACGCCGAGGCATGGAACCCGAGGGCTCGCCGGCTGGAGATGCAGAGGCTAGGCCGATGTGGGACCAAGGACGGCGGGGTGGATGAGGGTCCTCCGGCCAGTGGTCTGCTTGTGTGGCGTCGACGATAACCAGGAACGACGAGGGCCTCACTTTGGCCGAAGGTCTGCTGATTTGGCTGCCGGTGCGCCGCCGTCTGATGTACTTGTATTTTACACACTTTTTAGGCTTAGTTTGTTGTTAATTTTAGTTATTAAAATTCTACTTTTGTACATATTTTTATAATTTGTCGTTAGTTTGTACTTGTGCAGTCCTACACGGGTATTTTGTATTTTCAGGTACTTTTGATGCTATTTGGATACATTAGAGTGAACAAAAGAAGAAAATAAAAGTTCAAGTTGGAGGTCAATAAAAGTGGAATTTCCTTCAAAACAAATAAGGAGTAAATTGAAGAAAAGAAGCAAAAATAAAAATGGTGGAGCTGGGATTCGATCCCTGGAGAAAAGGTAGATGAATGCCTACTATAACCAGTGTGCAAAGTGATCAATGCTGTACATATTCAGCTGGCAATTGTTATATTCCTTCTGAACGCGGCAAAGAAAAGAACAACATGTTGAAGCCGAGAATCGATCCCACGATCTCCGAGTTTTCCTCTGAAGTGCTTATCCGTTGAGCTACCTGCCACTTTTGAAACTTTACTGCGCTTTGTTGTACATAAACTCATCTGTTCCGTAAATTCCAGCAATTAATGATTAATCACCTTATCATTATATTGCCTTAATCCATCTTCCTCCACACAGAAGTTCGGACCAACCTCTCTCTAAACATCCCAGAAACATTTCCTCCTCCTTCTCTCTTCATTTCTCAACCCCAAATCATCAACTCATCTTCAACCATAACTAATCACTTTCTCATCCAAGATTAAGTCAAGATTAGCATCAAAGCTCCAAGGATTGTCATCTATCACAAGTTTGATCTTCCTTATCTCATTAAATCTTGTACTTTAATCATGGATTCATCTATTTCTATGTTTCCCAACATGTATAGCTAAATAAATTTGGGGCTAGAAATTGGTTAATTAATTGTTCTTATAATGTTTTAACTTGTATTGATTTTAATTGTTAAGTTTGTTCTATTTAGATTGTTGTGTCCAGAAAATTAATTATGTTGTGTTTGTGATATATATTATGAGTACTCAATCATAAACATATTGTTTGTTAAATACACAAATGAACACTTTCTGAACACACCGTTAAACTTCTTTTACCTTGTCCCGGATTGAAGTTTTACGGGAGAATTTAATTATTTAATTATATTATTTACACCACGGGGTTGGGTAAATAATATAGTTAATAATTAAGGTTGTCGTTGCACTTAAACAACTAGTCTCGTTTTGGCCATCACTGGGAAATGTTGACTAGTTACTTATTTTAGGTGACTTGTGTTGGGTCCTAAAATATTTATCTACAACTTCTCACAATCTATCTAAGAATAAAATTAGCAATTATGTCTTACAAATGAGCATTGAACAATTAGTTGCCAATTTCTACCCCTACTTGCTATTGGTTGAACTTTGTGTTGATAAAAGTCTCTTCTCTCAATCACTTTTATTTAATTACTTTTCCAAGTAAACAAAAATCAAAAGAAACGCATTCCCAACTTTAATCCTTAGTTTGTGCTTAATTATTTTATTTCCCGCTTCTCTGTGGTTCGACACCCTACTTCCTTGGGTAAAAAAGATAGTTGTGTGCCCATTATATGCTACACACCACCGTCGCAGGGGGGGCCGTGGTCAGACCGAAGTGATTCCGATTCTGACTGGCCGAAGGTGACCCTGTTTGGGCCGATGCGACCCGGGATGAAGGAGGTAACCATCTCTATTTTTCCTTTGGTTTGAATTTTGGCAGAAGCCCGGAGTGTTGGCCGACGATGCACTGCCGGCGGATGTGTGTGTGGTTATCTTGGCCGGAGTGGCTTTGATTTTGACTGGCTGAAAGCGAAGGAGTCGTGGCCGACATGTGTTGGCCGATGCGTGGCCCCCTGTTGTGTGCCGGTCGATGAGCTGTCTTCCGGCCGACGTGTGATTCCTGGCCGGCGGTGTTGCTGGCCGACGACGGTGTTTCTTGGTCGACAATGTCGCCGTTTTACCGTTCGAACTGCGTAGGCCGAAGAGGGGAGCTGTTGGCCGAGGTGGGAGCTATTGGCCGAGGACTGCTGCACACAGGACCGAGGTGGGAGCTATTGGCCGAGGTGGGAGCTATTGGCCGAGGTGGGAGCTGTTGGCCGAGGACTGCTGCACACAGGACCGAGGTGGGAGCTATTGGCCGAGGTGGGAACTGTTGGCCGAGGTGGGAGCTGTTCTCCCCCTGTTGCTCAGGTTTACCCGAGGGGATCCAGGGGGTACCCCCACCTGGACGAGGGACGATACGTGACCTCTGGCCTGGCCGAAGCTTGCCTCCTTTTGGTCGTTGTTAAGTCCTGGCCGAGGTGGAACGCGACTGTAGTATCCTTCTTTCTTTCCAGGTATGGCCGAGGAATGACGGAGCAGATGGGGGCCGTTGCGGACGAGGGGCGCTGAGGAGCTGGATGACGACCATCTGCTTTGTGGGCCCCAACTGCTTTCCAGTACTACTTTCGTGGCTTTGCAGCCGAGGGGAAACATCACCTGTGTTTCCAAGATGAGGCAACATCATTCTTGTCTTGTTTTGGCTGAGGGTGTGGTCTCCTCATTTGTTTGACCAACACATGGTTTTATTTTTTTTTGGCACATGGCATTTCGCGTTGATGGCCTTGTAACTGAATTGTAATGGGAGTGAAGCAATTGGATTGTAATTTCTGGCCGACGGGTAATGTAACCCCGACTGGGGCCGAGATGGCCTCTTGACATTAATTGATGGGGAGGATCTCACTTGATTTGCTCTAGCTCTCAACGAGAGCACCATTTGATGGAGTATTAACTCCTAGAGAGAAGGGAGAGCTAGAGAGATAAAGTGATATATATAATGAATTTCTAACCCTTTACATGACTCCCTTAGGGGGTATTTATAGGAGAAAAGCGGGCTGGGCTTCCAGGCTTGGGCCTGGAAGGCCCATTTACAATAAAAGGCCAATAAATGGCTAACAAATGGTATTTAATCTATTCTAACGGGTATACATGAATAAAATGGAGTGTACAACGAAATAAATGCTATCTACTGAGCGTATGTGGGCCGCTGTCCGGGTCCAATAGTCGTGAGACCCGGGGGTTCGAGTCTATATACTCTATCACATATATATTACATGCATGGATATGAATGGTAACATACTAACATGCATCATTTTAAGAAGAAAAAAATACTACCTTCGTCCCAAAATGATGATCCTGTATTTCCTTTTTGGGATGTCCCAAAATAATGGTTTTGTTTCCCTTTTTGGAAAAAAGATGTGGTCCATATCATTTCACTTTATTATACTCAAATCTCAACCACAACTTTTACTTTTTCAATCACTTTATTAAAACTTGTTCCCAAAAGAAATGAGACCATCAAATTGTGACGGAGGGAGTAACTAGTTATATTCTATGAAGTCTGAACACGCATTGATTCAAGTAATATGAGTGGTAATTTTCTCTTAAGTATATGTGAGTATAGCAAAAATGTGAATTAGATGTGTAGTTACTAGTTTTATTGGCTACTCTCTCTATTCGAAAGTATAGGATGGTTTACCCGGTGAGCTAAAAAACTAGTACTTCGTATAAAATAATACTCCTTCCGTATCAAATTAACTGACCCGTTTTCCTTTTCGGCACGTATCAAATTAAAAGTCTCATTTCTATTTTTAGATATGGACCCCACCACCTTTTAACTTCCCATCATTACATTTTTACATTTTACATTTTTTCCTCCACTTATCCCATTATTCCTCCCCATTAAATCCACATTCCACCCAACCATAAATCCCTATCCGCCCCACCTTCCCCATTAAATCGGCCATTATCACCCCCCATTTCTCGAAGTATCCGTCTCTCCCTCTCTCTCTTGTTCAAACCTTCTCTCCGTTTCTCCGGTTTCTCTGGTTTCTCTCTATCTCTCCGTCGGTCTGGGTTATTGTCTCTTCGGTTGTCCATCTGGTTTATCTCGACCACCCAACCCCTCCTCACAGCCCTCCTCTCCACTCCTAATCTGTTGTCTGCCACCTTATTTCTGAGCTACCAATCCATCGCTCCTTTGCATGGATCCGTATGAGAGGCGCATGTCATCTACGAATCCACCATTGTTCTTGGCTCCAAACTCGTCACTCTCTCATCTATTTATAGAAGTGCGAATATTTTGGAACTAATCTGGCTCCAAATCTAAAAAGTTGGCGCCATTATGCTGGCATTTTTCCCATTTACGAATTGCTACAGTGTTTTCTTTTTTTGGGTGTGCAAACTGCCAACAGGGCCGAATGTATGGCCTTTACGCTTTGCTACAGTGCTTAATGTATATGGGGTCCGGTTATTTATACTTCTTTTGTAAAGTATTCCTCAACTTTTAATCATCTACAGTGTTTCTTACTTTCTTCTTACTTTATCTACGTACACCTACAATTTTTCTTAAACTACTACAAAAGCCTAGTGGGTCAATTAATTTGATACGGAGGGAGTATGATTTAGGTTTATACAAAGTTAGAAATTATTGATGATTTTATAGGGATATCTAAATATGGAAGTGTTTGGAATTGATTTTGCTTAGTCTTCCTTTTAAAAAGCAGAAGTAAAATCAGAATCAGTTTTCAAAAGCTGATCTCCTCAGTTTCTAAAAAACTGCTTCCAGGAATATTTTTAGCCTCAGAACTACTCTCGCACTTTAACTCAAACACCTCAATATTTGCTTCTACTCCCCGAAGGAGCATACGCATTTTTAATAACTAGATCCAAACACTCCTATATAATTTAGAGAGTTGTTGAACTAGTAGGAGAAGAAGATGGTAAGATTTGTGTATGCATGAGATGACAACAGGGCAGATCGGGGACGGTTTTACATATAATTGTACCTGTCCCATTGGATAATTTCCCGCCCGTAACCCCCCCATTACCCAACGGGTAACGGATATAACCGCGGGTAAGAGCGGGTAATCGCTTTGTTAAATGAGTCATTGATATTTTAATATAAAAACAATATTTTAAAAGGCGAAAAATGACATGATCTAGACGACTCTGGATTCATACGTCACTTTAAAGTTTTGTATATCTACAAGAAGCGAAAGAAGACATTCTAAATTAATTTGAACCTAAAAATATTTAATCTAAAAAAATAAGTACTCACGAATTTTTTTTATAACAATCAAAGAAGTCTATTAAGGGTATGTTTGGCACAACTAGCTGAAAAGATACTTTTACAGATTTTTTAGTAACTGTTAGCTTTTAGTGACTGAAAATATCTTAAAACTAAAAGGTGGTAGTTGTTCGGTAAAAAACTAACTGTTTGGTTTAGTTCCGTTTGTTATACAAGCTGTTGGGACTAATTAATGCTAAAAGCCACAGACTTTTTTTTAGATGCTACTCCTTGTAGCATCTCAAAAAAGATCTTTTATTTTTTGAAAAGCTCTTAACAATTGTCATACCAAACATATTACTAGAAGCTTTTAGGAACTTTTTAAATAGTGCAAAAGCTAGAAGGTAGAGACTTATGTCTCACAAACATAGCCTAAGATCTATTGTGAACTTTCATTTATACATTATAGTTACTACATCTATTATACATATATACACAATGAAAATAGAAAAATCTCATTGTTTAGTAGTTGTGGGACAAATAATAGATAAAAATGTAACGAAAATGTAACAAAAAATAAACGGGACGGATAACGGAGCGGGCATGTATAAAATTGTAACCGCTCTGTTACCTGTAAAAACAAAGCGAGTATTCCCCTCCCCGTACCCATTACCCGGTCAATGCGGTTTTCCCTATTTTGAGTGGGGCGGTTCAGTGCGGGTATCCATCGGATCGGTCACAGGTGCCCTCCTTACCTCCGGGGGCGAGCATATATAGGAAAACGAGAGACGTGCCCAATTACGCAAAATACTATTATAATAGATGCAAATGAATAAAGAAAGTGTACAATAATATAAAAATGTCTCTTAGAAGTATGTTGGCGGGTGTCCAAATCCAATTGTCGCTAAAGTGAGCGTCTAACTCCATATACTCTATCGACTATATTAAAAGTTCTATTAAGCCGCAAATTTATGAAATCTAATAAAATTTGGATACTCAAAATTATAAAAGAATAAAAACTAGGGAAAATTTTACAAATAGGACCTAATCCTACTAATTTTCCAAAACTAAGACTACAGATTAGCGTAAGACTCAACTACACCTGCATTGACCACAATACCCTTACTTTTAAATTCCATAACAGACATTACGTAGACAATAAGTAGACAAAAAGTAGACAATAAATAGACAATAAATTCTGATAACAATAATTTGATTGCAGAGCAGGCAACAAATGGTTCAATGTTTCCGATGATGAAATTACTTTGAGAGGTCGTCAAGAAACTCGCGATGAGGAAGCGTAGGTGATGGATTATAGGGTATCCAATCTTATATAATTAGGAGATTTTTGAGCTAAAGAAAGTGAAGAAGATGATGAATAGTAATGTGTATTGTGTATAGAATTCTGATTTAGGGTTACAAGTCTCCCAAAGAGAGTATAAATAAACAAATAATGGGTCGGGCCGCTAATATGGACCCGATAGGCCCAATTACATAAAAGGCTAATCTAGTACATACAAATGATATATGAACTCTACAATAATACAAATGATATAAATGACATCCGATAAGCGTGAGTGGGCCGCTGTCCAGGCCCAATAGTCGTGAGACCCGGGGGTCCGAGTCAATATACTCCATCAGGAGTCCCCCACTCCCTGAGTCGAGAGTACTCGAGGCGAAAGGGATTAGAACTGTGTGTTGATCTATCGGCTAATGAGTAAACTTTGTGAAAAAATAAGAATTTCTGCTTCTTTGGTTAACGGAGGCGCTAAGTCCCCCGCTCTTCCCGTCCCCCACTCCTTGAGGTGAATGTAGTGAGGTGAAGAGGAGTAGAGTAGTGCATGTCAAGTGATGTCTTCAATAGAGATCGAGGGTCGACACCTTTTGTCCACGTGGGGAGATGCCTCGTTAAAAACCTCACTAAGAAAAAACCATGTGGGAAAAATCCTAATGAGGGAAGAAGAGTACACCGAATGCCCCCAAAATGTAGCAAAATGGGTGAACCCTTCGGCCTGGGCGTGGAACTGCAACCGTCGGCATCTGCTAAGGGGATGACCAAGATCGGTCCTCGTATGTGCGTAGCTCGGCATGATACGTAATCCTAGTCATCAAATAAAGACAACTAAGAGATAGATCGAGTGACCGTCCATAATATGATGTCCAGGTCATCAAATAATGTGACCGAGACATGTGGCCGAGAGGCCTATAAGAAGTCCAAGCCATCAAATAAAGATGACCAGGAGAGACGGCCAAGTGGCCGGTATGATGTCATCATTTAGTTGCACC